AAACAGATTGGAAGGCTGGTCCCAGAACTCTAAATTTCATAAAAAGTGATACGTATATGATTCAGGTGATTACCAGGAGAAAGGTTTGGAATGGGAACAATAAAGAATCGGATTTCTGAACCAAGACCGCCTGGGAGCTACAGACTTTGCGGGGGGGAGGAGGGGAGGAAGGAGCAGGGACAAGGATGAGTTTGATCCCAGAACAGAAACCAGTGATCTTCAAAAAGAGGTGCAAGCGTCTCTCTTTTTTTCTCCAATCTTTTTTTGCGTTCCCTTTGTCACACCTTCTCTGCACTGTCTGAACTCTCCACGCAGGGAAGTCTTGCACGAGTGCACACACCTGGACCAGGGAAGGTCCAGCCTTGCTTGCACAATATTTTACAACGATTAACACTTATCTGAGGATTTGCTAAGGAGGGATTTGCCTGGGGCGCAAACAGTGTATTGATCCGGGAGTCTCAGTTGGCTTTGAAGACCAGAGTCCATTTTGTTGTCCACCAGGTGGCGCTAAATAATTACTCATCTCTTCCCACGATTTAAAATTTTATTTTAGGTGCTCGTTTCTTCAATTTTATTGGGTCTCGTAACTTTAAATAAATATATTTTATGGGTTTTTGTGATGTTTGACTTTGGGGCTTAGTCTTGAATTTGGCCTTCCTTCTAATTTTGAGGAAGTTTTCTATTCATGCCTCACCTAACAAGAGACAGCAACTCTGGCTATACAGCAAAACTACATTTGCACCCTGTAAGACCACCAATAGGGCAAGAGCTAATACCAGGTGCTATATATCAGAACAGCACATACAATCAGCACCTGTTAAAAACGCTTTAAAGGAAGCTGTAAGAGCAGTGAAAAGAAGAGCCTGTTGTTTCCTGATCACACCTACCAGGAGGCAACTGAAGTGTGCTTAAGAATACACCATCATATGTTCATCTAATTAACACAAATACAACAGCACCACAATGTATTAAAAGCAACAGGAAATTTCTGCTCACATGCAGAAACAAGACAGAGTAGTTCAAACAATTGACCAAGAAGAAGAGCTTGGAATACTATTATTAGAGGGTGAAGAGGCTTTGGAATTGTCTGGAGGGGAATTTAGGAAAATGGTATTGAGGTGCATCCAAGTGTTCCACCGAAGTGAATAATTGTTATCATGACTAATTGTGATCTTCACAATTGTAAAGGTAGAAGTTTTGTAACAAAAACAGGGGAGTGGTTAATCTTATAGTCCAGAAACAGAGGACCCTAGGACCATCACGAGAGAAGTGCACAAGCAGAGTGTGGGACCTTATCCAGAGAAGCAGAGATGACAGAGACTGAGGCAGAGATGGGGCCATGGAGAGGGGGTCTGGATGAGGACTCTAGATTCATGGCAAGAGAGGGACTAAGAGCTGGTGGCCAAGAGGCAAACTTGCAGAATGTGCCCTTTGGAGATGTAAATTATTATATATGCCTGAGTGTTTTATTTTTCTAAAAAGTGCTAAAGTGAATAGAGAGAAATACTGTTAACTGATGGTACATGGAGGGGATTATACTCATTGTAATGAAACAGGTGCATGATTTGTTGAATGTAAAACTGATTATCTGCCCTGTAAACTTTCACTCAATCCATAATAAAAACCTTAAAAAAAAAAAAAAAACCACAGAAAGCAGAGGAAAATAAGGAAGTAGTCAGTAAAGCACTACAGGAACAGTCAAACAAAATCAGTTTCGCTTTGGTATCAATAAAAAAACCTTCAAAAAGAGGTTAGTGCTAAAATATCTGTTTGCTTTACTGTATGAGTAGAAATAGTAGGAAGTAATACTGTGCTTTCTATAGTCATCTTTTTTGGAATTAAAGAGATTTCTTGGGGAAAAAAAGAGACTATTTTATTGTAATTCTGGTTTTGCCCCTACTTGCTATGTGTCACATGATAGAAAAGGAAAGTGCATAAAAGTAATTATAGATTTGTGCCATTGAGCACATAGTGTCTACAGATGTAATTGGGATAAAAGCATCATAAAGAAGGAGGGGAAACTATATAAGACAGAATTTTTGTATGTTGTTGGAGTCCTGGTGTGGCACCATAGGATAAGCACTGTACTGCTAACCACAAAGCTGGTGGTTCAAACCCACCAGCAGCTCCTCAGAAACTCTACATAGGGTCACTATGAGTCAGAACCAACTCAATGGACCTTAGCAACAACAACAATGGTGTTAAGTTGTTAACAATTCAAATTAGACTGTTAACTGTTGTTGTTAGGTACTGCAGTCAGTTCACAGAGACCTTACATATAACAGAATGAAACACCTTATGCATAACAGAATGAAACAAAGTAGCAGTCACTGTGTCATTCTGTCTTGTTGAGATTCTTCTGTTTTGTCACTGACTCTTCACTTTACCAGGTATGATGTCCTTCTTCAGGAACTTGTTCCTCCTGACAACTTGTCCAAATTACACGAGGTGAAATCTCACCATCATCCCTTTTAAGGGGCATTCTGGCTGTACTATTGTAAATTGAGTATAAGTATAATTTCCTAGTGAATCACAATAAAACCATATGAAAATTTTACACAAAAAATAGTGAGAAGAGAATCAAAATGGTTTACTATATATAAAAAACAACAACAAATAAAGAGAAGAAGCAGTAGGAGGAGAAATGAGGCACATAAAAAGTTTGACACACAGAAAAGATAAAGCCAAAAGGCAAACAAAGTCTTTTCTCATCAATAATTACTATATATTTTGTTGTTGTTAAGTGCCATCAACTTGGTTCCAACCCATAGCCACCCCATATAGGGTTTCTGCGGAGTATTTGGTGAGCTTGAACCACCCACTGACCTTGCAGTTCAAATGGCTTTGCAGTCTGGTGCATTAACCCACAGCTCCACACCAGGACTCCAATTACTATACATACAGGGAAATATTATTCTGTTTGAAAGAAAATTTAAATTATTATACCTATTATGGTGTGTATGAACCTTACAGATATTGTGTCAAATGAAATATATTGTATACAAAAGGTCTAAATATTTATGCTGTTGTTGCTGTTAAGTGCTGTTGAGTCCATTCCAACTCATGGCAACCCTGTATAGGGTTTCCAAGAAGCAGCTGGTGAGCTTGAACCACCGACCTTGAGGTTCAAGCAGACAATGTGGTTAAAACCAGACTTGCGCTTAAATGAAGTAACTAAAATAAAAATGCATAGAGACAAAAAATAAACTGATGGTTACCAGAGGTTGGGAGGAAGAAGGAAAAGGGATTGATTATTTAATAGATGTTCTTGTTGTTAAGTGCTGTTGAATCCGTTCTGACTCATAGTGACTCTGTATAGGGTTTGCAAAGAGTGGCTGGTGGGTTTGAACTGCTGGTCTTGAGGTTAGGCTAGCAGTTGAATATTTATCCTACAGCACCATACCAGGACCCTATTTAACAGATAGTGAGTCTCTATTTCAGGGGACGGATAGTGGTCATAGTTGTATAACACTGTGATTTAATGCCATTGTTCACTCAAAATTGCTTCGACTGGCAAGTTTTGCGTTATATGTATTTTTCCACAATAAAATAATAATAAAAAAGAGAGCAAAAAAGAAGAAGAAAAAGAGGCTTTTGAGTAGCTTTTACTAGAAGAGAAAACCCAGACTCAATTACAGACTTAAAAATAAAACAAAACAAAAAAAACATGTTTTTAGTCTAATTCAATTAAATCTCATTGCATCTAAAGGAAAGAAGAATATAAAGAACAGAGGGGAAAAAAATGGAAACATCTCAGAGAAATTAAAGTAGAAAGGGGGAGGAAATTGAAGTGAAGAAGTCAAAGAAATGGAGAGAAACTCAGGGTATAACAGGAATAAAAATGTTGAATAACTGGAATTACTCAGGAAATGGCAGTTTGAAGCACTGGGTCAGATTTGAAATGGCTAGTTTGTTTCACATGCTTTTTTTTTTTTTTTTTTTTTTTTTTTTTTTTTTTTTTTTTAACACAAAAGCATATATGTTTAGTGGACAGGATAGAAAACATGGCACCTGTATTTTTCTCACCATTTTACAGAAGAACAGAGGACTGTTGAGAGGCACTTGAGAAAATTTCGATTTTATGATAATGACCTATTTTATAGCTCCATTTCTTTTCTCTTTCAACTGCTCTTTTAGTTTCTCCTCTTTTTCTCGGTTCTTTTTCACTCACCATGCCCACCCAAACATTCAGTTATATTATTTACTTACTGAGGAAATTGCCCACGTGTTTGTTCTAGTAGCTGTGGGAAAACAATGCATTACTTTTCTCTTGTGTTACTGAGAGATCATTCTGGAATGCAGTTATCCCATGCTCCACCCAGCTCAGCTCTATAAAAGAAAACTTGCTGCCAAATCTCCCACCTTAGGAACTTATGAGCTTGCGGACATGAAGTGCCTCTTTCCTTCATTTACCAAACTTCTCCTTATGGTCCTACTATTTCTAGGTAAATGGAAATACTACCTTGGTCTGGGTGGCAAGAGCTCTCTAGAGAGGTCATTTCAGGGCAATAGTCCAGATTGAGCAGGGACAGACTAACCCTATGGAAAACATTTTCCTTGAAGAAGCTGAGTTCGTAAATGAGACTTTGACTATGCCGACAGCACTGACCTCCCAATTAGGATCCCTAAAAGAATGAGTCCGTTCACATTCTAATCCTTTCAAGATCCTCTTTCTCATTACAGAGGACATCTATGTCAGGAAGACCTTAAATTTTAAGAGTTAACAGTGATATTGGTGAAACCTTAGGAAAATGCTTAGCTTGGTTTTACTGATATGCTCAAACTCACTGCTCTACTGCCCACTCTTTACATGAATTGTACATTGTTTTCTCCTCTCTCTCCCTCACACACACACACGCACATATACATGTGCACACCAGCTCACTCCAATTCATCCTCTGCTTTCTTTCACCCCCTAGATTAAGACTGTCTGTACTTTATCTGATTAGTCTGCTGAATGAAGAACTCTGACAATTCTTTGCTATGTATTTGCTCTAAAGCTGGATTGTCCAGTGCCAAATATGTTAACCATCAAGGCATTGAGGACCACAGAGAATCCAGAGCGTCTTCTGAACAAAGAACAAATGAGTTTTCCTTGCTTCATTATCAAGTAAAACGCCAGCCCTTCCAACCTAGAACTCCACCTTTTCCAGGTAAGTCATGTAATAAATCATGTGAAAAATTCAATACTCAGCAAATGTGTATCCTTTCAACTAAAATACATACCTTAGTGTGGGTGACACAATCTGCCCTATGTGTCATGAATACTGTGGGCTCTCACAGTCTGGCTGTGATACTATGGGAAGGTCTGGGATAACATTAAATCACTGAGAAGTCAAGGGACCCTATTTATTTCTATAATCTTTGAGTTATTTCTATAATGTTTGAGTTTACTGGTCTAGTAGTCAGAGAAAATTATGTTTCTGACAGAGCTAGTGGTCACATCCTTAGAGCTCATTCACTCTACAGCAATTTATTGAATACCTGCTAAGTTCAAGTTGCTAAATAAATATCCAGGGAATGCTTTCTGAAATGTGGTGGTGGAGAATACAGAACCGGATGAAGTAAGCTACTCAGATGAGAAGGGGTATAGTGAATAATCAAAGGCAAAGGGCAGACTCAGCCCCTGCACCACTCTCCTTGAAAGGTTCAGGGTCCTAGTCAATCCAGTCCCCTGGGTCAGCTGAAAATATACAAGCGTCTTAAGTAGACAGTGCTTTTAAAGATCCTTGCTTAATTCCAAGCGCTTTATGACCCTGAAATAGGAAAAACTACGCTGGAAGCTTAACAAATGGATAAGAGCAGAGAAGAAAACTGTTGACAAATGAAAGCCTGCAGTTAAAGACCAGCATATTTTAATTTATTCATTGCTGTTGTTAAGTGCTGTTAAGTTGTTTCCAACTCCCAGTGACCTTTCTGAGGAGGAGCCGCTGGTGGGTTTGAATTGCCAACTTTGTGGCTGTCCAATGCTTGCCTTGCAGAGTCATACCAGAACTCCCGGTTTCTTCATTATCTTATCCTTTTTCCACATTTTTTGAATTGCCCCTCAAACTTACTACTCTGGTTCTCCTGAGGGAAAGAAAAAGGAAATATGATCATTGCATGGCAAACATAAAGCAGGCACAATCTGAAACACATGCCATTTAGTCTAATAGCAATTCTTTCTTCTCATTTGGATCATGAGGAAAGAACTGATTTGGAATAACTTGCCCAAGATCACACAGTTAGTAAATGAGAGTTAAGACTTAACCCTGAGTCTGTCTGTGTAATTCCATAGCCCTTGCTTTATTGGTATGCCACCCTGGTTGTATGGAACTAGAAAGTCAACTATCAAGACATGGCTCCCTTTTTAATCTTTTCACCCATCTTTACTGACTACCAAATTTATCCCTTTAAAATTTAATCCTTTTAAAATTTAACCATTTCTATCATTCAGGAAACCTTCTCTGAACCCTCCCTTTACAATATATCATTTTTTTCCTCTCAAATGAATTGTGCCTCTATGTTTTTTCCTCCTAGGCTGGAGTCCTGGTGTGGCACTGTAAGGTCAGCACTGGACTACTGACCACAGGGTTGGTGATTCAAACTCATCAGCTGCTCCCTGAAAACCCTATTTAGGGTCTCTATTAAATAGTCAGAATTGACTCGATGACACTTAACAACAAGAAGAAGTTTCTTATTTGGTATAACACTTACTTGTTTTAATTTTTACTTATCCTTCTAATTTCAAGTTGTAATTTCTATATTTAGGATGTATTCTTTTATGCATGTGCCTGATTTTGTTTAGTCCAGTACAGTGTAGTATACTGAGTGAAAGTTTATAAGGCCATTAATAATCACCTTGTTTCAAATCTGACAAATGAAACAATTGTTGTTGTTGTTGTTAAGTGCCGTTGAGTCGGTTCCGACCCATAGCGACCCTGTACAGGGTTTCCGAGGGTTAAATCTTTATGGGAGTAGAAAGCCTCATCTTTCTCCCGCGGAGCGGCTGGTAGTTTCGAACCGCTGACCTTAAGGTTTGCAGCCCGATTCGTAACCACTACGCTACCAGAGACAATAGTAGACTGTAAAACACCTTAGTATAGGCTGGAAAAACTTAGTAGTTAGTAGATATAAATTTCTTTCTCCACCCTCTCCATCCTCTTATGCTCTCATTAACGTTTGAACTGTTTTAAAACTCTTTTTGAAAGTTTTTCTCTTATTTCCTATGATAGTATTTATTGTTCTTTGGTTCTTTGTCTCCATCTCTGCTGTGCCAGTTCTTTGTCCTCTGCCCATCTTTTAAAGGATACAATTGATCATCTTTTCTCACTCTTCTTAACTGATCACATTAATTCCCAAGACAACCTCTAAATTTACACAGTTGTGGTTCCCAAATTGTATTCTGGGTTCTATTTCCAATATAATTAAAACTAGTTCAGATTTAATATGCTCCAAATAATGTGAATGATGTGGTGCTGTGGGTAAAAGGTCAGTTTGAACCATAAGGTCAGCAGTTCAAACCCACCAGCTGCTCCTCAGAAATCCTATACAGTGTCGCTATGAGTCGGAACTGACTTCACAGCACTTGCCACCACCAACAAAATCAATTCCTCCTTTATTGTTCTGAAAAATTCTTGTTAAGTGACTTTTAGTCAATTCTGACTCATAGTGACCCTGTATAGGGTTTCTAAGGAGCAGCTGGTGGGTTTGAACCACTGATCTTGTGGTTAGCAGCCCAATGTTTATCCTACAGTGCCATACCAGGAGACCATTTAGTAATTCTCTATTATCTGCCACAGTGGTTTGTGCATATGTCCTGTTTATGAAGAACCTAGAAACCATGATATGCTTTAGAAAACACATGATAAAATATGGATGCAATTCATGCCAATCACATGAAGTGGGAAATGAAAAAAAATAATAATAATGGGGACATAAAAATGACATCTGAGACCAAATGTTTAGGAAAAGTTGTTGTTAAGTGCTGTCAAGTCAATTTCAACTCATAGTGACCCTGCACAGGGTTTCTGAGGAACAGCTAGTGAGTTTGAACCACCGACCTTGCGGTTCAACAGAACTTTCAGTCCAGTGTTTATCCTACAAATAAATAGCAGTAGAAAATTCTACTGAGAAAATGTTCTCTTAATTGCTTTCCACCTGAATTGGGGAAAGAGTCCTATTAGTTCCTTGACTTGGCATAATACAATGATCTATACATAGGACGATAATATTCCATAGAAGCATAGTTTAAAAATAAGTGGTGAAGGATAGATCTTAAAATGGTGGTGGTTGAGTGTCATGGAGTCAGTTCTGACTCTTAGCAACCCTGTATAGGGTTTCTTAGGCTGGAAATCTTTATGGAAACAGAAAAGCTCATCTTTCCCCCATGGAACGGCTGATAGTTTGAAATTGCTGACCCTGAAGTTAGTAGCCCAACTCGTAACCACTACACTACCAGAGCTCCATAGATCTTAAGATACCCAGTCATAACATCTTTTCACAGTCTGACATCAACTCATCTTGCCCACATTTCCCACTATAATTTGTCATCCCTGTGGAATGCAAGTCATACTTGCCACATAACTACTGGAACATATTTTGCGCTTTTGCTTCTTTGCACAAAGTCTAGGCTAAAAATGTCTAACTTTAGTTCAAGTCCCTCCTTAAACAGTACATTTTCTGATAGACTGTCATTGTTTGTTTCTTCCTCGATGTTCCAAAATCACTCTCTGCACACTCTATTGTGGATTTATCATACTGAGTTCTCAATGTTCTCTTTACCACTAGACTTTGAGTTATTGATCAGGCATGTCCCAGATTCTTCTATAGTACATTTTCCCTCACCATGAAGATGATTCTGCCTTGTGTGTCAGAGTAGAAATGCACTCCATGTACGTTTGTTGTTGCTGTTGTTAAATATCGTTAAATATGTTTCAACTCGTAGCGCCCCTGTGTAGGATTTCTAATGAGCATCTGATGGGTTTGAACTGCTAGCCTTGTAGTTAATAGTCCAGTGCTTATTCTGCAGTGCAATACCAGGACTCCCCATGTATATTAAGGGTTCCTAAATGATTTTATTTCAAAAGGAATGAAAAAGAGTGAACATGTGTTTTAATTTACCAAATGAATAGAAGTCTGTAGGACCTCTTTCTTTTGCCCATCTATTATAATCCTGTCTTTCTTTCTACAGCATCACTTTTCCCCTCAAGAGTTATTACCTAACTAATATGGTGTGAAAATAAATTTTTCAGCTGAGTTTCAAAACACTATATTGAATTTAGAGACAGGTCACTTTAGAAAGTTGGTAATCAAGAACCAGTGAGTCTTACGTTGCTACCCTTATCAAGAATACCAGATAGTAAACAGTATAAACTGAGAATGGATTTTTGAGGAAGTTTTTAGAAACAGTGATTGGTGATCTGAGAGGTCCATTCTTCTCCTGGGGGAAAAGGTATGTGATACTTCAAGCCATAGGAAATGTGTTTTGAGAGACTTGCTTAAAGAAATTCATGTATCTCCTGCTGTACAGAATCACAATGGGCTAGTGTCTCTTTTTTGCCTCAAAAATACAAAATGGAAGAGTTGGCAGGTTGGCTGCTCTGATGGCAGGAACAAATAAAAAGTTGTTGCTACTTTGGTAAGGATATGCTTTGGAATGGATCTGCCCTTTCATTGATTGTGTTGTGTCAAACAATGTGTATATGTTTTTGGTTCAGACATGAGTCATGCCCAGGAGTTGCCTTTGTGCCAATAATTTGTAGCAACATATCACTTGATACTTAGAGGCTGAAAAAGGAGAAAGTCATTAGCTAAAGTGGAGATGTAGTCTCTTGCCAGGTTATAAGCACAAAACTGGATTATAAGAGTACTAATCAACAAGAAACTTTTCATCTCTTTAGTCCTTTTCCTTTTTTCTGTTAGAAACCTTGGAGGTATACAGCTTAAGGAAGAAGAGTAGAGTGTTTAAGGAAAGGGATCCCATTGTAATGCATATCCTCTGATGCTGTAGAAGCTCTCTAGCTGTAACAGTCTTGAACTATGCAACTTCAGGGAAGTTTTATAACCTCCTGGGGCCTCTGTTACTTATTGTGCTTTTAAGATGTAGAGAACCACCAACATAAACAGGGTAACTTTCCCCTAAGGAAAGACTTTGAATTTTTCCAATTTGTGTACAAGGGGATTTCAAAAAAATTTATGGGAAAAAATCCATTGTCTTTTCATTTCATTTTTAACATGCACTTTTTGAGGCTTCCTTGTATGTTTCTGGTGCAGAAGAAAGGAGAGGTCAAAGGCAATAGACTGATGTTGCAACAATCACCAAGAATAAGAATGGGAGAAATCACAGGAACCATGCAGAGAGGCATGATCGAGACAACTGATTTGGAGATCAAACTTAATATCAAGATCATCCATAGAGTATGACTTGATTAGTGATCCTGGGCTACATGATTCTTATTTCCTTATTGTGTCGACAAAATCAGCATGAAAGCTAGTGGGAATTGTTGCTGTTAAGTGCTGTCGAGTCAATTCTGACTCATTGCAACACTGTATAGGGTTTCTGAGGAGCAGCTGAGTTTGAACCGCCGACTTTGCAGTTCAAAGGACCCTACAGTGACATACCAGGACCCCATTGGGAATTGTAAGCCTCAGTAAAAAAATAAGGTCCATGAACACAGGGAGCAAAAGTCATGTTCATTATGATGAGTCCAACATCTAGAACAGTACTTGACACATTGTTGTTGTTCTTAAGTTCCATTGAGTCGGTTCTGACTCGTGGTGGTGGTGGTGGTGTGCCATGGAGTCGATTCCAACTCATAGCAACCTGCATAGGGTTTCTGAGGCTGCAAATCTTTATGGGACTCAAAAGCCTCATCTTTCTCCTATGAAACCACTGGTAGTTCTGAACTGTGACCATGAGGTTAGCAACTCAAAGTAACCACTATGCTACCAGAGCTCCTTCTCATAGCAACTTTATAGGGTTTCTGAGGTTTTACATCTTTGTGGGGGTAGAAAGCCGTCTTTCTCCAGTGGAGTGGCTGATGGGCTCCAACTGCTGATCTTGTGGTATGAAGTCCAGTGCTTATCCTACAGTGTCCTATTTTCCCCCTGTAGAAGCTCAAGAACCCTGTAGAGTTCTTGAGTACATAGTCAGAGCCAGTGGTTTCTTTTATTAAAAAACTACTCTGAATAAAATGTTGTTCTGAACTAATTTTTATTGTAACAAAAGACTGATACTTTTTGATCATTGTGTCTCAAATGTTACTGCAATAATATGATGAAGACATTTATAAAATTCTCACCCTGTACTACTCCGTTCTAAATGTGTTTCATAAATCAGATGATTTAATCTTTGAAACAGCCTTATGAGGTAAGTATGACTATCATCTCATTTTGCAGATGAGAAAATTAAGGAATAAAAAGTTCATTCACTTCCCAAGGTAATAACAGCTAGCAAGTATCCGAGCCAAGATTTGACCCCAGCACAATCGTCCCCAAAGTTTTTATATTAATACACTACAATATAGTTCCTTTTGTCACTTTGACTGACTTATAAAAATATTTGGGACCAGAGGTAACTAGGATCAGTGTGTCCTAACCAAGTTAATTATTTGAATACTGATTTGTATATAAGATTCTATTGTATACCATGCACTTTGTTAGACTTCATACAAACTTAAAACAAGAAACACAGAAGTGTTGCTGTAGAGTTAATTCCAGCTTATGTACTTCAGAGTAGAATTGCACTCCATAGCATGTCTGAGTTTTCAAGGCTATGACCTTTCAGAAGCAGATTACCAGGCCTTTCTTCCAAGGTACATTTGAGTGGATTCTAACAGCCAAATTTTGGGTTAACAATCAAGCACTTAGCCATTTCTGTCACTCAGTGACTTCTCACATAAGCTTAAAAGATGAGTGTAGTCATTCCCAGTTGACCAATGAGGGAATTGTAACTCCTTAAAAAATGGCTTTCTCAAAGTCACAGACTACTCAGATACCAGAAAAGTTGCTTGGATTCAGAACTATCTTCTTCTAATGCCTGTAATATCACCTCTTCTTCCCTTTTAAATTCAGGGTACCAATTTTATTACTATCTTAGAATTAATTTTTGTGACTAGATATATACTAAACAGGGGCTGAAGATCAAACACTCTTTGGTCTTTGTGTAGGTACAACAATATTGAATTGTCTTATTGCTGAAATGTGTGCATTTGTTTGTATTTTCCTGCTGAAAAAGGGTCTCAGTGAGGACAATCAGAAAACTATGTAAATCTATTTTAAGTCACTTTATTAGACATCCAAGGAAGCCTGGTGCCGCAACAATTAAGTGCTTGACTGCTAACTGGAAAACTGATGGTTCCAGTGCATTCAGCAGTTCTGTGGGATAAAGATCAGGTAATTCGCTTCTATAAAGACTGAAGCCAAGAAAACCTTGTGAGCAGTTCTACACTGCCTCAGAGTGTCATTGTGAGTCAGAATCTAACAGCATCACTACTTACACATTCATATAAACATATTTAGTCATGAAACAAAATTACACACAGGAACAAAATAACTTCCTTTCAAACATTTAAGAGTTTTTATTGCTGATGAATAGAATGATTTTTGAATAGTTCCAGAAGACTAAACAAAATCAGAGAGTGAAACCTAGGAAACCCTTAGCAGTGTTTTGGTAACTTTTGGGTTATCTTCCAGATAGGGTGTAGTAAAAATGATTCCCGTATTATGTAGGGGTTTGAACTAGATAGATAATAGTTTGAGTAGGACCATCTCTCTTGGAAAAAGGATAGAGCTCTATATCTGAAGTTGATTTTATAGTTTAGAACTTGAAACTATGAACCATTGAAATTGATTTCCTATCCATTGTTATTTGCCACCATATATTTATTTTAAAATTAATATTGTTTGATTCTTCAAATGCTCTTGAGAGGTTGATAATGGATATTTCTTTACACAGAAGAAGACACAGGTTTAAAAATCATCATTTGCAAGAAAAGTGATGGCCACTTCTGTCAAAAATATTGCAATTACTTGGAGACACAAATGGGCTACTGTTCTGAAAAAAAAGACGCCTGCTGCGCACATCCGAATTGAAGTTGCCGACATACATAGGAGCCAAAGCCTTGCTTTCCAGCTTGTCTATTCTCCTGGGTCAAGTCTCCAATTCAGGTGCAGATTTTCAGAGGGTGTGGAGTAGAGAGGAATGAAGGATTCACCATTTGAGCCAGGCAAAACATTTTATATTGAAAAAAGGAAAAGGCTAAAAACTGGCTACACATGATCTTATAGACATGATTTTACACAAAATGACTTAGCTTTAAATGTCTAATCACACTGGTAGATAGAGATATAATAAACCTTCAGAGAAAAACATTCACATCATTCGTTATTTAATTTAACAAATACTTTTTGACTATTTACTTTCGTTCTAGTACTGAAAAGTGTAATTAATTGAAAACCTGAATAAGGTGAGTAGAGAGATATATAAAAAATAAAATGCCACGTATGTTAGGAGTCCCTGGTTAGTGAAAATGCTTAAGTGATGGGCTACTTCTAAAAGGTTGATATTCAAAGTCACTCCAAAGTCACCTCAGAAGACAGATTTGCTGATCTGCTTCTGAAAGGTCACAGCTTTGAAACCCTAGGGAGCAGTTCTACTCTGTATGCATTAGCTGCTGTGAGTTGGAATCAACTCAGCTTCCTTTAACAACAGCAGTAACTACAATGTGACTATAATGTGAATATACACAAGCAGATAAGAGCTACTAGGTCTTCCTGGGAGAATTAAAAACTGGTCCCTGGGAATCGAGCAAGTTTTTAGAAGATGAGTAAGAGTTCATCAAGTTGAAAAAGAGAGGAAGGTATTTCCAGGTAGAGGGTATGGTTCATAAAAAGACATGAGGTTATGAAAGAATGGTTTGCTAGGTAAATAGGAAAATGCTCAACATAACTGGAAAAGTGAAAGGCAAATGAGAAATAGCCAATTAGTCTGGTATAGGAAAGTGATGTGAATTTGTCAAAGTAAGCCAATATTATGCTAAGACCTTGGACAATTAAACAAGAGATAGTTGTCCAGGAAATGATATAGTAGTATCTTTTATTTTAAAAGGGTCATTCTAAAAAAATAATTGGAGTTGGACTGAAATTTGTGAGAGACTAGAGAGAGGAAGACGAGATAAGACAGGATTGCCACAGTTGAGGTTCATTGAGATCCATTCAATTACAGAAAATGGGAGCACGGTGGCTTTGTGAGATAAGCACTAGACTTTGAATCACATGGTCAGTGGTTCAAACCCACCAATGCTCCATGGAAGAAAGATGAGGTTTTCTGCTCCTGGAGAGATTTATAGTCTCAGAAACCCTATCCATGCTCACTATGAGTATGAGTTGGAACTAACTCAGTGACACTCAACAACAACAAAGAACAGATATGGAGAAGAGGACAATGATAGATGCATACTAAAAAGAGAATTTGCAGACTTGATAACAGATGGGATGGAGAACAGAGAAGAAGGTATGACAACAGGGTGGAAACAGTTGTGTTAACCAATACGACACATGCATGAAAGGGAGAAGCGGGAGGAATGTGAAAATTAGATTGGCTTTGGACACATTACATTTGAAGGGACAAAGGCTTTCACAGATACCCAGTGAGGAGTTGAAGAGACTTACCTGCATCCTAGGAGAGAAATAGAAACAAGAAATTAAACAGTTGGCATGTAGGTGGTCATGGAAATTTTGATACAAATTTATAATCTATCATTTAGGGAGAAACTTCTCAAGAGGGAGGGAAGGGGGAAAAAGGACAAGTATTTAAGTGAAGAGCAGCAAAATAGGGAGATGTTAAGATTAATTTAATAAGTAGGAAGAAATTTATGTGGTGGTTCAAACTCGCAGGCGGCTCCTCAGAAACCCTATACAAGGTCACTATGACTCAGAACTGACTCTACGGCACTTAAAAACAACAACAACAAGTATCATTCCAGAAGATTAGGAAGGAGAGACTTTGGAGAGTGAGAGGCAGACTAGGAAGGGAAGAGACATGTTAGATAGCAGGCGGCAATGTTGCAAAAAAGAATGACATTGCGTCTCCATATTTTCTCAGCCACATCAGTTTCTTGGGGGATGGGTATCAGAGCATCTGGGTCCTAGATGGAGTTTCCTTATAAATTTTGCCTTGAAGGTTTAGTCCTAGGATGTCAGTTTCTCCTTCTATATGATGAAAACATTTTTAAAAATTATTATTTACCCAAGAAGCTGTTTGCTTGTTTTCTGTCAGAGTCAAAATAGTGAACAAGTAAGAGAACAAAGTGGGGGAATGCGCATGTGTGTGAGAGTGGTTAAAAGCCGTATAAAACAGAAATGACTGATCAGGAGTTAAGAAACAGAAAGACTTCCCTGAAAACAACACATTAAACATGTCACCAGTATCCTTTGATCTCTCCCAGGACTTCCCTACTCTCTTTCTTCTTTCTCTTTCTCTCCCTCCTTCAACAAATCCTAAGCAGCATCTACATACCAAGCATTGTTGTAGATACAGAAGATTCAGTAATGAGCAAAATCACTTGTCCTTATTTAATTCATGTTCTAACTGTTGTTGTTAAGTGCTGTTGAAGTCAATTCTGACTCATAGCAACCCTGTATGGGATTTCCAAAGAGTGGCTGGTGAATTTGAACTGCTGACCTTGTGGTTCAAACCAACCTTGTGGTCCAGTGCTATATCCCACAGTGCCTATAAACAAGATAAATAAGGAAAACATATGGGTATCAGAGCATATTAGAAAGTGGTAAGTGCTAGGACAAAGGAAAAAGCAAGTAAGTAGCTACAAATTGCCAGACATTTTGTAACTTTTAAATGCAGTAGGTGTAGAAGATGTCACTGAGAAGACAGATTTTGAGTAAAGACCTACAGGATGTTAGTGAGTGAATCACCTGTGCTTTGTGGAGGTGGATATTTCAAGCAGAGGTGACAACAAGCACCAATGTCATGAGGCAGGAGACTGCTTGGTGTATTTGAGGAGCAGCAGGAGGAGTCCTGGTATGGTGCTGTGGATTAATGTGCCAGACTGTAAAGCCATTTGAACTGCTAGGTCGGCTGTTCAAGCTCACCAGCTGCTCTGCGGAAACCCTATACGGGGTTGCTATGGGTTGGTACCCACTTGATGGCACTTAACAACAACAAGATCCAGCTAGTGTGGCTAGAGCCTAAGAAACTAGGGAAAAGGAGTAAGCTATGAAGCCAGCAAAGAAACAGGGATCAGATAACGTGGGACCTTGAAGATCATAATTTTGCCTTTTATTCTGATAAAGATAGGAAGCCATTTGGAGATTTTCTTGTTTGTACTTCTATATTCATGTAGAGCTTTTTATTAACAATACTGTGAATAAAGCATTACCACCAAATCTAGACTGTCTTGAAGCAATGACTTTGCAAATCTCTTCATGCAACATTATTCTCTTGGAAATATTGAGTTAGGATAAAAGTAGATTGTTGTGTGCTTGGACCCAGACATTTGCTCTACTTTCTGAGAAACTCAGAATCATGTAAATGTACTTGGACAGGCCTTGAGCCTAGGTGACTGTGATCATTTGGAGACAGATGGGAAACTGAGGTTGCAGCTTCTCCATGTCAAGGGGACTCACACACACCACGACTTTGTCAGCATGACACACCCTATGAGAGTGAAGTGGGCAGAAAGACTGCTCATGTTTAGCTGCTGGACTTGTTGGTGAGATGATAACACTATACATAATTTCTGTTCCATTTAAAGGAAGTAAAATTGAGACTGGCTCAATGCCTGTTGCATCATGTGAGTTTGATTGCCAATGTGAGCTTGTAACCAATGCTGGTGACTTTACAAACACATGTATTATAACAATTCTAAATTTTTATTTTTAATGCAGACACTTCTGTATTTTTTTCCTGTGACTGTCGTAATAAAATACCCCAATGATGGGCAACTGAGACATTGGCTACCTAAAATGAGGAGGTGATAAAGGCACGAAGTGACTGGCTTACAAGTTTTTGAGGGAATTTAGTTTCAGAGTATGCAGAGGAAAGTAGAATACCACTGAATAGTTTTCATCTTGTCTAGATGAGTCTGGTAAAAAAGAGATAAGGATAATATTCATATGATTCAATAGTGAGTAATTGTTACCATGACTAATTATGACTGTCACAATTGTAATGGTAGAAGTTTTGCAACAAAAAGGGGGGAGTAGTTAATTTTCCAGTCCAGAAACAGATGACCGTTGGACTATAAATGGAGAAGAGCACAAGCGAAATGTGTGATCCTATCCAGAGAAATAACGACACCAGAGATGGAGGCAGAGATGAGGACATGGAGAGAGAGAGCAGCTGAGGACTCTAAACTCATGGAAAGAGAAAGACTGAATGTTGGTGGCCAAGAGACAGGCTTACAGAGTGTGCCCTTTGTTTGTTTAAATTAATATATATTCCTGAGTGTTTTTGTGTACATCCTCCTCCCACCCCCCCAAAACCAAAGGGAATAAAAGCAAATACTGTTGAATGGTGATGTATGGAGGAGACTGCAACCATTGCAATGAAATGCTGAGTGTAAAAACAATGTTCTCCCATGTAAACTATCACTCAACTCACAATAAAAACATAAAAAGATAATGGAATATTTTTACAAACTTTTCCAAACCCCATCTTGTTTTCCCCATATTTCTCATCTACTTGATTATAAAAGTGCCCCTTTTCGTTCATACATTCATTTCTTTCTTGGGAAATGCTGCAAAATCATGCTCTATATGTTGCTGTTGTTAAGTGAAGTTTAGTCAGTTCTGACTCATAGCCAACCCGAATAGAGTTTCCCAGGAGCAGCTGGTAAGTTTGAACCATAGACCTTTTGATTCAAACCAACCTTGAAGTCCAGTGCTTATCCAAAAGCACCACACCAGAGCTCCATGTTTTATACAGCTTATCTCTTTTATGACAGTGCATCTACCACCCATGCTACCACCACATTTTCAATTCCATTATAAGCTTGTAAACAAAGAAATAAGAGGCATTGGTGGTTCACTGGTAGAAGTCTCAAGTTTCTTTCTGGAAACCCAGGTATGGTTCCAGG